CCTGAGCTTCAGCGCCCTGGACGGCGTCGGCCACGGGGTCAAGGTCAGGAGGGGCCCCACGGGTGGCATTTCTGGGTCCCCGCTGTCCCCAGGGTCCCCGAGGGTGCAGAGCCCTCTTTCCCAGCTCTGGAAAATCCCCACAGGAGGGGTTTGGGAGCCTCAGACCCGCCCATGGAGCCTTTCCCGGCTCTGAAAGGTGCCCAGGAAAGAGTTTTGGAGACTTCCCAGCCCCACTGATCCTCCCCCACTGCAGAAATCCCCCACGGGGGGGTTCAGAGGCCCCACATCCCCACTGCCCCACATCCCCACATCCCCACATCCCCACTGCCCCACATCCCCACAGCCCCACTGCCCCACAGCCCCGGGGCTGCTTCCCTTTGGGGAGGATGTCACAGCATTGGGGATGCAGGGATGTCATCTATGCACGTCCGTGTGTCCCCGTGTCCGTGTGTCCCCGTGTCCGTCTGTCCCCGTGTCCCCGTGTCCCAGGACACCAGCACGCAGCTGTCCCGCACCGGCACCCTGGCTCGGAAAAGCACCAAATCCTCCTCGGCACAGGCTGCGGGAGCACCGGGGTGAGCCGGGCCTGGGGGATGGCCCTGGGGACCGCGGGGGTCCCGTCCCACCCCATCCCATGGATCCCCTGGATCCCATCCCTGGATCCCATGGATCTCCTGGATCCCACCGATCCCCTCCCGCCCCCGCAGGAGGAGCAGCCGTGTTCCCGAGCCCGTCCAGCCGCCCGTGGTTCCCGAGGGAAAGCTCCGGGCAGCCTCCCCCAGCCCCGCGCTGTCCCTCAGGTGCGGCCGCGGGGCCGGGGCAGCTCCGCCCGCTCGGGGCTTTGGGGGAAAACCGCGGCTTTTGGGGGGAAAACCGAAGTTTTTGGAGGCTTTGGGGGAAAACCGAGGCTTTTGGGGGCTTTGCTGCCCTGGCAGGGCTCGTGTCCGGAGCAAAATTCTCCTTTAGGGAGAGGGGAATGCCCGGGGATGCCGGGGGATGCCGGGGGATGCCGGGGAATGCCGGGGGATGCCCGGGGATGCCGGGGGATGCCGGGGGACGGGACACGGGTGCGAGGAAAGGGGACAGGGCGTGGGGAAGGTTTTGGGGAGTCCCGTCCCCCACGGCCGGTGCCACCTTGTCCCGGCACGGGGCCGTGCTCGGGGTGGGGACAGAGCCAGCCCCACCCTGGCACTGCCGCTCCTCTCCCGCAGCTCCAGCGGGGCCCCTGGGGAAGGAATTCCTGCCCCGCCACCACTGCCAGGGACATCCCCGCAGGCACCGTCCCCTCCCGGGCCACCCCCGCCGGCCGCCGCCATCCCGCCTCCGCCACCCCTCCCCGGGGACCTGCGGACACCTCCCGGGGACCTGCGGACACCTCCTGGGGACCTGCCGCCACCTCCTGGGGACCTGCCGCCACCCCTCGGGGACCTGCCACCACCTCCCGGGGACCTGCCGCCACCTCCCGGGGACCTGCCACCACCTCCTGGGGACCTGCC